GTTGTTCAGCATTGGGGGGAGTAGAAAATGAAGGCTAATCATGTTTTGGGTGTACTATTCCTTTAAGGTAAACAAAAATGGTGAACTAAAAATGAATAAATCTGAGTAAAGTTTTAACACCAGAGCCGTGGTCTCTGTAGATGAAATCAAAGGTTTAATTCACGCAGCTCTATACGGCCCTTTAAAAGATAAGCCTGGCTTTTCCATCCCTGATCTAATGTGTCTCCACAGTTTTACAACAGAAAATAAACCCGGAACGAAGGAAAGCCTCAGTAATTCTGTAACGCCATCATCCACGTCTGGTTGGATCTGATCTGTTGATTTAAAATCTGTCGCTTTATTTCTACCACAGAGCAACACGGACGGTCTCTACGAGCTGGCGTATGGCGGACTCATCTACTGCCTCGGCGTCTTCTTCTTCAAGAGCGACGGCGTCATCCCCTTCGCCCACGCCATCTGGCACGTGTTCGTGGCGCTGGCTGCGGCCGTGCACTACTACGCCATCTGGAAGTACCTGTACAAGGCGCCCAGCTCCGAGTCCCTCCTCCACTCCTGACCCTGAAGGCCCCGCCCCCTCCGCTGCCCGCTGAAGCTGCAACTGGAACAGGAAAAGTTTACCATGACCTTTACTTGTTTACTGTTTTCTAACCAGGAGGACGAGTTTCCCAGAATCCTCTGATGATACTTAGAGTTTTATAAAAGGAAAAATATCCGAGTATTTCTGACATTTGATCTTTTATAACCACTAGAAAGTGAATCACATTCCTCTTTAAGGGTTTCATCAGGTGCTAAAATCAGCTTTATCATCGGCCCTTGGTGGATTTAATTAGAGATACCAAAGCTGAAATAAAGCACATTAAATTAAAAACGGGATTCATCATGGAGGCAGGAGGTGGAGCTTCTTTTCATTCAGCTGATGTGATTCAGCTGCGGCGTGTTTTTCCTCATTTAAACTGAGCAGTGTGCACTTTGTTCATCCAATCTCTCCTGAAGCCTCGTGGCGCCCTCTGGTGGTGGCCGCTGTTATTGGAGCATTCCTCAGTATTTCAGTGTAGTGGGACGTTAATGAGGAGACTCCCAGTTTAAAGGCAGTATAATTATTTTGTAAAAACTGTGATCTGTGTGTTTGTGAGCGCTGGTGTCCGCTGTAACATTTCCTGTGGTTTGTTGATTTTTGCACAGTGAATTTGAACAGTGTTTGTATCGTAAGGACGTTCTGATCGGAGCTTTTGTACATTTCCTGCGATGTCTGAAACCGAACCTCTGCACATGTTTTACTAATCATGACTCTTGTCGTTCCTTCAGACTGTTTTGTATATTTCTATCTTCTGCTGATCATACGATCCTGGCCTTTTTTCAGAGACGAGCTGCTTGATTTTCTTTTTTTTTTGGTGTCTGTTTAACTGGCTGGTAATGGTGCTGTTTAAAATACGAACGCTCCTCCACTGCACTGAAAACCAATTCGGCAATGTGACAATAAAGATGACGAATTCTGCAGATTGGTGTGTCTGGACTTCTTTCATGCTTCATTCCAGAACTATAAAAATCATTTAAACTGGTCAGTTTATGTCCTTTTAAACCCAGCTGGGAAACTTTTGACAAAATCCCTGAACTTTATATCAGTGACCCAGTTCATGAAAATCTGATTTCAGAACCAAATCACCCTGAATCATGCATTCCAGGGTCTGATTTCACAAAGCATTGATAATGGCGGTCCAGAGTTAGGGGTGAACTCCTGTTTTTTCTGTTTCACAAAAACATTTCTCAGAGTAAAACTGTGACAACAAATTAACAATTACTCAATTAAAATACCCCTGCACAGTGGCAGGGATGTTTACTACTTTTTCAATTCAGTTTATATCGCACCCTTTAACTACATATGTAATTTTAAGTCACTTTACGGAGACAATTCAACCAGAACATACTGTACACTGATTGATTTAAACTTTTCTAAGGAAAACCAGTGGATTGCACTGACTCAATGGCAATCCCTCACTTCAAGCATGCTTGTAGCGACAGTGGAAAAGAAAAACTCCCTTTTAACAGGAAGAAATGTCCAGCAGATCCAAAGTCAGTGTGAGCGGCCATCTGCTGAGGCCAACTGGGGTTCAAGGAGACGGAAGCAGACATAGAAAAAGAAGCAAAGATACAAAAGGCAACTGTAAAAGGCGGCACCATCCAGGAAACACAGCCAGGAAGACGTTTTACACAGAGCCAGCTCCCATGTCAGAGGATGAAGAGAGCACATCCAGTTAATCACAGTCAGAGAAACAGGACTACACTGGAAAATAGGCCAAACAGGAACAGACCAGATGAAGCTACTATGAGAAAAAGCAGAGAGAGCAGAACGTTAGAGATTGAACTAACAGATTCTGCATTATGTGAAAGAAGAGATAGAATGATGAAAGGGGTCCCTATGTCCTCCAGCAGTCTAAGCCTATAGCAGCATAGGTCCCTGAGCAAAGACCCTTAACGAGACACATCCCGGGTGCAGCAAATGGCTCCCTAATTGGGATGGGTTAAATGAACAGAGTGATTTTCATTATGCTATACTTGTGACAGTATAATGAAAATATAAATCTAGTAGCTGGTTCCAAAGGAGTGGAGCCTGATAACTAAAAGATTTGCTCTGTTAGGAACATAAAGAAGAATCATAGCTCTGATATAGAATGGAGCTTGGCTTGTGAGGAGGATTTAAAATTTGATTCTGGATTTAATAGGAAGCCAACGAAGAGAAGCTAGAATAGGAAAAAATATGATCTTTGTTTTTATTTTGCACCAGAACTCAGCATTTTTGGATCAGCTGAAGGCCTTTAACTAGTGTTTTTGCACTTCCTGATAGTAACGAATTAGCTTGACGTAACGAATTCATGGACTCGTTTCTCAGCATCCCTGCTTAACAGGATATTTCTAACTCTTGCAATAGTCCAGAGATAAAACAACGATATTCTGGAAATCTCTTTTTAGCTGCGATCTGCACAAGGAAATACTCTTCTACCTCTTCTTAAAATTAACTTAAATAAAGAAATTGGATTTCAATTCAATTAAATTCTGTTTATTTATAAAGACCCAATCACAACACATGTCATCTTAAGGTACATTACAGAAACAATTCACCCAGATCATCCCGTCAGAATGGTTTAAAGTTTTCTATCAAAGGAGAACCAGATGATTGCATCGACTCTTGGACTCTACCTCACACCAATAATGCTTCTAGTGACAGTAGAGAGAAAAAACTCCCTTTTAACAGGAAGAAACCTCAAACTAAGGCCGACTGGGGTTCAAGGAGACAGAAAAGAATCCTGCAAATCGTTTATTTCTGTTGGCTTAAGCACAATTTTGGTAACTATTGGCATTTTTTTGTGTGCAAAACTCTACACACAAATAAACCGCATCACATGCAGTGTCCTCTGGTCCAAGGCACCATGGGAAATATCTCCTGGATGCCGTATCCATGCCTGACATGATGCCTGGTTAATATCCCCTCATACCTCCTCCATTACTGTGCGTTGAAGGGGATGAAGGTCATAGATCTTCCACCTCCAGGCAGAGAAGAACTCTTCAGTCAGATTCCAGAATGGAGACTTACAGTAGTAGCCATTCAAAATATCCCCACTTTCCTTGGCTGGTCTCCTTCTATTCTTTTTTAAACATCAATCTTTGTACTTAAATAAAAAATATTTATTTATGTGCATGTTATAATATTTTTTGTCTGTTTTATTCTTCCTTTGTATTTTTTTTTACCCTATTTATTTCTGTCTGCCCTTTTTACATTTCTCTAAGCATTTCTGCCTCATTATGCAAATGACGAGGGGGCGTGTCCTAGAGAGTCAACTTCAAAGGAAGAATAAAACAGACCAAAATACTATAACATGCACATAAATAAATACTTAAAAATATAAGTAATTAAAAAATAAGGTTGAAGATTATAAAGGACAAAAAAATAAGGTAAATATTACAAAGGCAAATAAATAAAGAAGCTAATTAAAAGTTATATACATTTATATCTCACTGTATAATTTAATTTCTACTTACATTTATTTGTTTATTGTGTTTTGGTGGCAATTAATTGTATGCTTATTTATTTATTGAGCATTTATTTATTTTTAAATATGGCAGAGTTGGTCCTCCATACAGGTTTGCCTGCTGTGTCTAAAAGTAGCAGCAGCAGCAACCCAGACTGACAGCTTATTGGCTGATTTGGATCACGTGCAGCCTGGAGCCGGACGCTCCCCAGGGCTTTACCGTATTAACTGGAGAAGAGGAGCAAGAGAAATTAGACACTGCCATTGGACAACATGCAGTAATTTATAAATGTTTTAAATAAGGTTGGGTCCGGATCTGGACCGTGTTCCGCTAATCCCTGACCTCTGGTCTCTGTCAATAGTTTACTACTATACTTGAACTGAAGTGAATGTATGAATGCTAACTGCTTTGCATCTCTAATGTACAAGTTTTAATACCTAAACTTGATAGAAATATGATTCTAGAAAAAAAAAAAAACTACTTCAAAGTGATTAAAATTACCACTTATTTTGTGTAGAAAATGAAAACACGACAGAAAAAAGAACAGGGTTTTTTATTAGACACTAGAAATTACAGACAGAGTCTAAAGACTGACGAGGAAACAGAACGTAATACCCCTTTAAGCTCTTCTTTAAATACACTCTGAAACAGTCTGTTGGTGTTGCCGTGAATACAATGGTTACAAATCTGCTGCAATGTCCAAAATATAGAGGTTCACATTGGTTTGAAAGCACGGAGAAGCCCTTCGGTGCAGTTTGGGAGCCACCAGGGCGGCGCTAGGGTCAAACGTCTACACTGCCGGGAGACCGGGGAACAGTCGGCGGATTAAAGGCACTGGAATAGACTCACGGTTATGGTTTACGTTTCCAGGTGAGGTAGTGACATCACTCCACAAGTGAGGTAAGGTTTGAGATATCATGGATTGATTATTGGCCGTTTCCTGTGTGGCTGTAATGAAAACAGAAGCTCTGGAGGTCGACGGAAATAAAGAGAACAAAAGACGACTGCATCACGAAACGATTATTTAGCATAGAAAACAGCGCTGGATCGGCTCGGAAACGGAATGTGAGAGTTTTATGTTACAGGAGAGAACGTTCTGACGCTTTTCGTTCATTTTGTGACTTTTAAAAGAAGAAAACACAAAAGATAATGATGAAATTGAGACAAGGAGGCAAATACGGAAGTCCTGAGATGCCAAATTACAAAAAAAATCATTTAAAAAAGGGAAAAAAAAGGTTTAAGAGTATTTAAAAGTTTTGTCTGCTTCATTTTAGAAAGCAAATAGAACCTGATAGGAGCTGGTTAAATTATGCTGTTTAATTTCTTAAGGGGCTGGCGCCTCCTAGTCTTCAGTAGGGGAATAATCTTTCTTTCTCAAGAACATTTGCAGGAATGTAAACATTTTATACTTTATTTTTCAAAGTAGAGGAAGAAGAAGGTTTATGCGGTTCTAATAAATTTATCTACTAGACCCGCAAATAAAATTAAATCTTTAGAACACTAGAAACAGCCAAAAACCAAAAGCTAATCTGGATTCTGATAACAAAGCAGCTTATTAAAATAAATCATAATCAATAAATGTATTTAATGTGCAAATTTGTGAAATTAATTGGGCATAGGCCTGACCAGTAGGTGTCAGCAAAGTGCTTCTTATACAATCTTTGGTACATTAACAGCTAAAAAAAACGCCTCTCAGCTACTTTAAGGATTTTGAGGGGATTTTTTTTTTCTCTATGTTACAAAAAAAACAAAGAATTTTTTTTTTTTTTTAAATCAGATTGTGATAATTTCCATTATGGCTGAGATTTAAATCAAAAGCATTGATCATCCACATAATTTTTACTTATTTGTGAAAACAAAAAAAAAAAGGCCAATAATTTAGGCACCTCTGGACTTCCATACTTGAAGTAAGAGTATCCAAATCAAGTTTGTTTCTAATCCTTTTTACAGCTTGGCTTCTTCCAACCTGACTAACGTCGACATTAAAAACTGAAGTGAAGCGTTTGGGGAAGTCGTTAAATTTTAGACCTTTTTTTTTTTTTATTCCTGTGTTTGAGGCCTAAAAGGGGCACCGACATGAGGAGGAGTGTTAAAATCATAAGAATATCACTAATAATAATAAAAATAATGCCCACAACATTTTGGTTTCTGCTGTTTTCCTTCCCATTCCCTCAAATAGAATATCAAAATACTTCTCTATATTTTTTATTTATTTATTTTTTATTAAACACATATTTGTAATAATTCTCTGGACCTATTGGGCCTTTAAAATACACATTTCACCAGTTTCTTTATATTTATATGTATATATATATTTTTTTCCCAATATTTATATTGGAAAAATACTGTACAAACAGGAACAGCGTATAGATTTATAGGATGGTCTGAGTCATTAATGGTTTAGCTGATTGGGTTAACCACGGTATTGGACAACACCATCCAACCTTTTCATGTCTTTTTACATTCAAAAACAGCCATCTTTAAAAAAAGAAGGCGAACTCACAGCTAGACGGACACTAAAGACGCACATCTGCATCGCTTCCTCCGACAACAACAAAAAAGAAAAAAGAACAGAACACTCGGACTAGTCATGCCAAGTCAAACAGAATCCAAAGAATCACTGACGGCTACTCGGAAAAGGAAAGAAACCAAGAAAAAATCATGCTTCAACCTGAAAGTAAGGAGGTTAAACGAGGAGTAATACTACTAACAATTATATCAACAGAATATATATATTTATATATATATATATATATTCATATTTATTTATAGATATAAAAACAAAAATCTTCCATCTGAGAAATAAAAAGGGAGATAAATATGAGGAATTTTCTTTAAGTGAGCGGGAACCGGATCCGATTGTGAGACGCGGGTTAGTGCAGAAGTTACCGGAAGGGAAGGAGACACGGTGGGAATTATTGCTCATGAGGAAAAAAAATAAAAATTTAAATTAAAACACAAATAAGAAGATCAAAGCAGGGCTGCTTCCTGACCGCATGCAGAAAAATAAAATAAGCTGCGGAAAAAAAACAACGTATGGAAATACTGCTGGGGGGGGGGCTTTAGACTCCATAGAAGCAGGAGGAGGGGGGAGGTTTCTAGTCCTGACCTTAGGTAGAAAAGTGAGGGGGTTGGGGGGGGGGCGTTGGCTCGTTACTCCTCACAGTGGGAAGGATGCACGTGGAAATATATATTATATATGTTCATTATATATTTTCATCTATTTATATTTAGTCAAACAGTGCAGAGAAATCAGAGGAGGAGCAGAGATGAAGCTGATGGGGGGAGACCAGAATCATACGGTGGGGGGGCGGGGGTACCAGAGACA